TTTAATATCGTTTGAAACCTAGTAATTTCCATCGAAGTTTACATATTTTTCAGTTATTTAGTAGTTACAGTAGTGTACTGCTTCTAGACTGTCTAACATCGATCTACTATCCAGCAAATACTATGGCTAAGGGTACTTCTAAAGGTAATTTCCATCGAAGTTTACATTAACCACCGCCAGCCGGACCCTCTTGTCTTTCACACTTTTGCAGAATTTATCGAATGAAAAATATCAATTTTTGGCAGACCAATTTTTGCACATGCAGCAAATTAATACCCTCTACCGACACTGGCACCATAATAGGATCAATCCGCCACGTAAACCCCTAAAACCTCCATCCGCAACTTTGGTCTTTAGCCCTTCCAGGCATTGTAGATTCATATCAAACGATCGTACATACATGACATTCCTGTAGCGTCTCTTACCCACTGGATCCGACGTAAAATCTATCTGCTAAACCACATTAATTATAGGCGGATGATACATTTCTACTATAAGCACATCGTACGATTTCCAAATTAAACCCGCGAACTTTAAAAACCTATATGCTAGCGTTATTAATTCTCTAGAAATTTATCTAGGAACTCACAAAGCCCACAGGAAGCCATTCATCAACTCTTCCCACACATAAACAAGCACCTTTACCCGAATCCAATGCATCTGTCTGCAACCTGAGTTTCTCTTCTTGTCTAGGTTCTACCAAAACTGTCTTCACCTACAAAATCTCCGAGCCGACTGAAACGCCTTCTCCTGCTCAGGACCCCACTAGAACCGTACCTTCTTCTTAGTTAATCGGAGCCAACACATTTGATAAATTCGGAACGTATCTCGCCCACCATCCAAAGCACTGATACCACGACCTGACTTCGGCCTTGGTTTGGGCCTGGGCATATCTAATAACGCCTGAATCTTTACTTCACTCATCATCGAACCCTTATCTGTAACCTCTCGACCCATCACGACTATATAATTACGCAAAATTACATTTTGACATCCGCAAATGTATCCCTTTCGCCTCAAATATCCTGGTCATCTCCACAATACCATCCCAATGCTCAGCTGAATCAACCGAACCTATCGCGGTATCATCAATGTACGTCTCAATTCTTTTAATTCACTCCAATGTCTCATCCATTAGTTGTTGGATCACAAAGATGCTTCCTTCAAACCAAACGGCATTCCAGTTAATTGGAATCTCTCTGCCCAGGGCGTCAAAAATGCAGTAACCCCTCGACTACCAGGCTATATCATTAACTGCCCAAACCCATTTCTAGCGTCCACATTGGTTCCCCACTTGTGCCCCTTAACTGTTGCCAGAAATTCATCATCTGTTGGTATCGGATATGTACCCGAATTTAGCTGATAATTCGTACGCATATAATTTTTACACATCTTCCAATCCTTGGGTTCCTCATAACTGGAATTACTACCCGGTACTTTAGGCACAAGTTTTGGCACTGTAAGTCAATCCGTATCTTGCACCCTCTCTATCAATCCAGCTTCAAGCAATAGTTGCACCTTGTATTCCACATAAAGCGGAGCATCAAATCCCGTAGCCCACTCTCCACACAAATC